CTGCTTTACCTAATTTTTAGATATTATTATTATATGGATAAATATAACTACCCACGGGAAATTTTATCAGAGAAGCACCTAATTGAATTGAAAATATACTATACGAATAAGTTACTTGTTGGGATATAAATAGAACCAGAAAACATTTAGCCTATATCAGTAAACTCATAATCTCCAAAATCCAAGCTGGTAGATTTCAAATGTTATCAGATGGATTACATTTAAAAATGTTTAAACCGCTTAAGCCATAATCACTCACATATCTTCAGCGGTAAGCTTGAATGTTTAAGTGCTTTAACTCGAGGTACGATCCTTACAATGGATATCACCTTAAGTAGTATAATCTTAGTTATGTTAAACTGTCTATAGTTACTTGAGTATGTATACCCAACAACAATAATAATAATAAAATAATAAACATGTATTATAATAACAATCCAATTTGTTTCAACTTCTAGTGTGCTAATGGCTATTTTAAAACAAAAATTTCAGATATATATATGATATGCGCTTGCATATAATTTATAGTAAAAGCATGGACTAACAATCAAATTCAACAGTTTGTGTGTGTGCATGCGTATGTGTGTGTTTTACCTTTGGCATATAACATAATCTACTGACAAAAATGGATCATTTGGTCCTTTGTTTAAGGCTGTCTTTTGCACATCCACGTACTCTTGTGAAAAATAAAAATTCACTTTTAAGTAAATTATCAGTTCCTTTCTTAAACTCTTATAAAATGCTGACCTCTACTACTACCAACAGTAACTCAACCATGAGCCAATTACGTTATTAGACAAACAAAACTTTACTTGAATGAAGCCTGCCTGTCTTTTCCAAACCTTAAACTTGTGTCCTCTTTAGTCCTATTATCTTCAGAATAGAGCCCGAATAAACTAGATGTCTTTATACTATTTAATCCAGAATAATAGAACTCTAAATAAGATCACCTCTTACTTTTCTTTTCTCACTGGAAAATAAGTTAAATGACCTTAATATATCCTTAGATAACCCTTCCATCCCCGATATCATCATAGTAGCCCTCCTTTGAACCCTTTCCTATAAATCAATATCTTTTAACCTTTTCCAGATATGGAGACGTACTGTGGTATTTGAATATAGCTCTGATTTCCCTAAGAGTAGCCTGCAGAGACCGCAAAGCAGGAGGATTTGTCAGATAATGTATTACAAAATAATGCCTGTATTTTTCTTTGCTTTTCATTGAGTCTTTACACAAGAGAAAGAGATTGGACACAGGTTTGTAAATAATTACCACCTTTATTATGACATCACAGTCATGTTAACACTTGAATAAGTGTTTGTGGTTGAACGGAGAGAGTGGGAGCTTTATTTCCTCTTTATAACTAGTGTAATTCTAGCTCTTTTATAAATAAAGTTAAGGTGGTGCTAAACACAATCTACGAGCCTGTAGAATAGCGGTCTTTTGATCAAAATGCTCTATCTTAAACGAAGCGAAGTCTAAATCTCGATAATGCTGAACCTGGCAAAAGTACAAATAATCTCAATAACAATCTCTAATGTTTGAGCTGAAAAACAAAGAAAAACGTGATAATATATGTCAAGTTCTCTCTCCCGAGGTACACGAGTCATCCCGTGATTGAGGGCCACGGTCATATCAACAAGGGGAGTCACACCCTTGGAATATAACATGGTTCGCCACCAGGGCAGACTGCTTCTATTCTGTTCATGCAACAGTTATCTTCCCTAACGAAAAAAACTCAATCACGAGTGACTACCTTGGTGATATATCCAATCATGTGAATAAATAAGAGAAATTAGTAGTTTCCCTGGCTGAAGTTTAATATCAAAATACATTTGAAATATATATTTTTTATATAGAACTAAGAGGTGGATAACGCATAATATACCGAGACTAAAAACTGTACACAGTATTTTAAGTGAGGCCTAATTTAATAGAAAAATATTAACCTCTAAATATAGTCGGGGTATGCTTTTTGTTGGATTTTCCTGCTCTTTAAAACAAACAACAGGATTAACTATCACTTTTATAATGGTCACGGATTGTTTGTTGCTAAATGTAAAATTGTACAATTAGCTACACCTGTTATGCCTGTTCCACAAAGAAAACTCCGAATGTTCGCATTATAGCCTCCAAGCTTACAGCTGAGCCACCTAGAAGAGGAGAAGTCAGCTCAGTGGTGCAATTACGGACAACAATCAGCAACATAGTGTGTCTTGAATTTTAGAGTCTTAGATTCCCAGTCGACACGTTAACCATTAGGCCAAGCCCAGCTCATATTTAAAATTATTAAGTTATACGTTATTGAAATCTACATTATACTCAAAAACAGTACTTGTCTACTGGTGAGACAGCGATAAGTTCACTGACTTATATCATTGAAATTCTGGATTCGCTTCTCCTCGGTGGAGAGAGTGCAGCTACCCAACTGTACAGCTTTGCACCAAAACAAAAAATCAAACAAAACAGTACTTGTCGTTTGTTATATCCCCAGAGGCTCAGCATTAAGTTTTGCGCTTAACAACAACCAAATCGTTTGTTTTTCAACATCAAGCAGTAACGAAATTCAACACATCAATTATGCCGCTGTGCAGCAAATGCAATTTATGTTAAGGCCTGAAATATTGACGTTTTATACATATAAATTACATAATAACGATATCAGCAGTTCCAATAAAAAAATTAATTTTTCTATTCAACTTGTTTTATTAAACTTAGTATTTAACATTTATAAAAATTTAAAGTATTTATTGTATTACAAAGTGCTTTTAAACAACTATTTTATCATTTTCACAAAAACAAATATTTAAAAAAGTTTTCTGTCGTCCACACCCGAGAGAATAATTATGAATTTTGGCTAGGAATTGAAGATCGTACTTCAACTAACGACAAGCTATGAATTTTGTTAAAAATATAAGTTTGTAAGTTTAATTACCGTTATAAAAAATTCTTTTGATTTACAGCTATGATTGGAAAATGGTGTGTGATGCAGGGTAATTAAGATTATTTACCACACATTTTGCATAAAACAATCCCTGCAAAAGTAGGGTTTTTATGACGTTCTTAACTTCAACTCCTTTAATTAGTACTATACATTTTAAACGATCGAAACAAAACGTAAACGAAATACCATGGAAATTAAAGTTACTTTAATCTTAATTTTTTATTAAATTCGTGTGTAATAATTATGCTAGGTAGTGGTTATAGTATTATTAAATCGTTTTTCTATACAAGCTATATGAAATTTATAAACAAAATATAGAATAAATTGACATAGGCCTATTTATTTCGTGACGCCTTCTGTCGTAGTGAACTTTATGAAATCGTGTTTCATCATACCAACTTATCAGGTATTTAGTCAGTGTTACCACAGAAGAGTATATTGACCGTATTCGTACTATTTTGGTATATTGCAAGGATTTCTGATACATTTTTTAAACATGAAAGTTTATATGTTTTAATTGCTTATAAACATATATTATACAGAAGAATGAATGCTAAAAAGATACAAAACTCTTACCTAGATCTGACTGTTGACCTTGAGTTTCGATTAAATTAAATTTGATAAAAATAATTAGTAACAGTGACTTCAAGACTGTTGTGTTTAATTCATTGAAACTCGATCTTGAGGGAAAGAAAGCTAAACATATTCCAGTAGAACGGATCGTGATTCCGTGTAAGTACATACACTATGCCTTCTCGAATTCTCTCCTTGTTACTTTATCGAATCTCCTGTCATTAGCAGGATTACCTATATGATACTTGTCGGGTAATTAGCTTTACCTTAAAAATACCACACCTATAGTCTATCAGTTCAAAATTAGGAGTGGGTATTGCAGATAGACCTTGTATAGCTTTGCTTGAATACTCCCTCCCCTACAATACACAAAAAAAAATTCAATACAGTAAATTCTTACGATGGCACTGTATGCGAAACTTGAAACTATAAATAAATACATTTTTGCGTCTAACTAAATTATTATTGAATCTTTAAAACATTTTAACTTTGAAAATAATGTCGTTTTTTAAAAGCTTTGATTGTAATTATTTTTTCCAGTAGTGTATTTAAGATAAGTCACATAAATAAATAACAACTTTTTTTTTTTTTTTGCTTAAAAAGCCGTTTATTCTCACAAAAAAGTAGCCAGCAATGTAATATACAAGTGTTGTTAAATGGGATGGTCCAGCCATATCCATGGCGAGTTCGTGCTACACGTCACTTGAATTAACATAAAGCCCAAGAGATCACAGTTACTATAAAGCAAATTAATTATGATATAAAAATCAACCAACATTTTATACATACAAAATTAGCTGTATATTTTAAAAACTACTCGCTAATATAAAACGATTAAACAATACATTCATTACAATATTCATATTTACTATCAATAAGCGCAAACCATCCAATACTACAACCAGAATAAAAGGCATACTTTGTGGAATTTGTAATAAAACTAGTGCTAGAAAAGAAACAAACACACACACACACACACTTCTTCAATAATTTTCCAGCTTCACTCCTGGACCACTTAGTGGCAAGGGAGTCCAACGAAATTCTACATTTGGAGGGCATAACAATAACATAATACAACAATGCAAGACTATACTGCAGTAAGATAAATTAAATTATCGGGAAAGTGAAATTGTAAACCTTTCATGAACAGAAAATTTTCTAATTGTGAGAATGTATACTAAATTGATTTTAATGGTAATTTTTCATAGAAGTTACAAAATAAATAAGTGAATGTGTGCAAACATAAACATGGAACATAACATTATAATTGTTTTCAATACACAAATTTTGAAATTAGTATTAACTGAAAATGAAAACATTAAAAGATCCCGTTTCTTTTATTCAGTTTTTTTTTTGTGCAGTACAAATTAACGGTACATTAAAAGTAAACTTAGGCCTTATTTTGATATCCTTCTCCTTGTAAAATTAAGATTTTTTATTCTGATAATAACAATTTCCTCAATTTTTTATTATCAAAAATAATATATTAATTATACCTTTAGTTCCTCCCTTTAATTTCAAATGTATTTATGAAAAGTTGAACTAAAGTTTTACCTCAAGTAAACACAAATCAAGCAAAATATGTAATTTTATTTTGTTTTTAATTTTAGTTAATGGCAATGTTTTTTCCAATTGTTTTAAAATAATCGAAGAACAAAAGAAAACCAAGGAATAAAAACAAACTAGAAACTTAATGTCTCATAACGAGCAGTGTCATACAACCACACGTTTAACGATTCTCAAGTTAACAAGATACTAATTAACTTTACATATAACACCTTTCAACATTTCTCATTAGCTAGAACAATGAAAGTATCATTAAAGTTTCTCTCTAACTAACAAATCACTTTGAAAAACACAGAATAATATTTAACCTTAATTAAAACTCAACTCCAGCAAAATAGGTAATTTTTATCCCTTGAAATTTTTAAGACATATATTTAGTCTAAGTGTTATCTACAAGTTAACTTAACGAGAACAAACAAAAGTGACAAGTGACAGACTGGTAATATAAATTTATATGATCTTTAGGGTCCCATAACATGTGGTGCAAGCAATGGTAGGATGATTCTTAAAAAGTTATAAGATATTAAAAGGACAAATCACCAAAATACACGCACACAATGAGATTCTCGAAAAAAAAAAACAATGAAAAGAAATAACTAGTTTTTAATGATAATGTCATGATTCAAGTGGGTTCTCAAGCACCACATGCAATTTATAATTTTCTAAACTAATGTGCTACAGCTAGGTACTTCAGGTTTCGCAAGAGCCAAATCACATTTGGTACCTAGATAAACAATGACAGCAATAAAAGATCGCATGGACTTCACCTGAAATTTTAAAACAACATAAGTATACTTTCACTGCATTGTTTACTTACAGTTTACACTTTGTGTACAAACTGGAATATCACAACTTATTTGAGATTCTATTAAGCATATGCACGCAAGATAATATTTTAAGGAAAGACTTGAAGGTAACCGATGTTTTAAGAAAGCTCGTGAAGAAAAACTACCAGCTTATAATTTTGGTGTGTCCTGAATTTCATCTCCATGAACAGGTTCATAAAAATTGTTTTAAAAGTTCTAAAGATTAGTTATGGTGAAAGTTAAAAACTATTAAAATTCTAAAAGTAAATATTATATATATATATATGTTTTACTTTTTTTTTCTACAGAGAAATAACATAATTAAAACAGCCAGCCACAATTTAAATTCTGAAATGCACCCCAATCAGGAAACAATTACAGAATATCACTCTGACATATAATAATTTCTAATTTCAAAATTTCTTAATCTTTAAAAATATGAACCAACGAAAAGCCTATGGATCAAGACATTTGACAACGAAATTTTCTTTATTAATACTTGTTTAAAGGGGGCTTACGAAAGAATAAATCGTAAAGTATCTTTTGTGGTGTTATTTGATTAACCACCGCAGAAGAGATTTAAAATTATTTTTCAATAATTACTATTTGGTAAATTAGATTCCTACTCTTTAACACCAAGCTCGAATCTTTAAGGAATGAATATTCTACCATATATTTAAACACAAATGTAATGCTTCAAAATCATTATTCTTTATATTTGTATTTTCCACCAGAGGGTACCAAACTCACTATACATTTTTACTTGTAGGAATATTCCTTTAAATCACACATTTTTATTTTCAATTTCACTAATATTCTGTTCACTCTAACAACTTGTTCAAAACTAGCTTGACCTTCTCAAAGTTTTCAAACAATTCAATAAACAACCAAGAACGAGTGTTATTACTGTCCATAAATTATAGAAAAACAAAAAAAATCAGCCTTTCATCAGTAATAACGGTTCTTCTCTTCAATGTTTAACTATTATGTATCAGGTATCCGACTGTTTTTGTTTTTTAGTGAAAAGCCACACAACGGCTATCTGCATTCCTTCCCCTTCAAGGAATCAAATCCTGGGCAACTTCAGTTCCTAAAATTAATTCTTTAGTGAATCGGGATAATTAGGCAACTCCACTCCATCTTCATCACAGAAAATTGTTCTTGCTTTTGTTAGATGTGTTTTTAACTTATCGACTGAATTGGCGCTAAACCTATTTTTAATATTGAACAATTACAATAACTTTATCATGGAGTTCAAAAGCTAAAAAAATATATATTTATAACAAAACTAAACACATTTTGATTAGGCTTCCTTTCTCTAGAAAACATAAAAAAACTTAACATTTACATTTTTTACCATAAAGTTTTTCATAAAGAAAGCAATGAAATCAAAAATATTTGGCTTCTAGGTGATATAAGATGGACATCCACCTAAAAAATCTTACAAAAAAAAAATTAATGACTAAAAAGTTGATTTTTCACCTACAAAATACAATATCATGTATAATTTCTTCACCATGTGAAAATGAAACAGATATTTAAATTTGTTACAGAATAATACATTTCCCATTCTTTCACCGATACTATCCGTAGAAGCACTTTACTTAAAAAATAAAAATTAGCCAAATAAACAGCAAAATGGCTTTTAATGCTTCTTTATCATGTAAGCTATGTTGTTAACGCAACTGGCAGGCTAAAAAACAAATGGTTTAGTCTGTTTCCATGACCAGCTTTGTTGAATGAGTCAACACAAAGTAATGGCAACCTCTCCAGGTACTTATACCGTGTGAAATGCCCACTTAGGCCCGTCACTACTAGTCTTTCCAGAGAAACAAAGACACCCACCACTCCCATTACTCCTCTGGCGTTTGAGAGCTTTGGGAGGATTTTCTTGCCATTCACGTTCTCGTAGGCACCGCTCGTAAAAATCAAATTCTTTCAGATACCTAAAGAGAGAGAGAAAACATTTACGTATTTACTTTTAAAAAATAAATAAAGCCATGTAAAATGAGACACTCTTAATAAGCTTCATTCTGTCTGATTGGTTTCTAGAAGTACGAACAAACGACTAGTACCTGTAATAGTCTTGTATACTTTATCAACTGAGTAAACAATGTTTCGGGTAGCAAACACACTTACACTGTGGCTCAATAACTTTCATGTTTTTAAGAACTTTAGATATTCAAGAAGTAACAGTATTTTCAAAATTTTTAGAACGTTCTCTTGAAGGTGAGGGGATAGTCTAGCTTTAGATCTGCTAGAGGACCAATTATTATAAAGAATTGTCACAAACAGTATTCTTATTATAATAATAATAATAATAATAAAAAAACACTGAAAGATGTTCGTTTACTTTGAAGTTTATCTTAATGAAAATATAACCACTTTAACTATAACCTTTTCACGCTCTTGACTGAAAGAATATGTATCATTTACAGTTTCAGAAAAAACATGCATTTTGTAAATCTTTCCAATAAGAAATAAATGCCCCACACCCCCATGACTAGTTTAAAAGAACCAGACAACGAAATAACAACATTACAACAATATTTATGTTCCTACCCTCTTATATCCCCGTTTTTTAATATTTATCAATAACTTCTGATTAAAGTAAGTTACCTGCATAAAACAGGAAATTATGTACAAAAAAAACTTATTACAGACAAAATAACAACAAAAACTTTTATAATCAATACAGAACAAACATGACAGCATTAGTCATATCAATTACAGACAGAGACACTATAGAACCTTTAACAGACATAAAGAAATTGACCAATTTCTAATCATGTTGATTAACCAAGAAATTCTCCTAGTATTATTAAAAGACCAAAATATTATCTTTGTGTTGTCAAATGACCAAAACATTAGTTCTGTTGACTAAACAAAACATTATCCTAGTCTTGTTAATTAAAAAAATACATTATCTAAGTCTCGTCAACTAACCAGACAATCAACCTAGTTTTGTTAACTGACCCAAATGTTATCCTAGTATTGTCGCTTGTCCAAATATTATTCCAGTCTTTTTCCTAGTCTCGTCAACTAACCAGAACATCAACCTAGTCTTGTCAACTAAACAGAACATGATTCTAGTCTCATCGACTAACCAGATCATCAACCTAGTCTTGTCGACTAACCAGAACATGATCCTAGTCTTGTCAACTAACCAGAACATCAACCTAGTCTTGTCAACTAACCAGAACATCAACCTAGTCTTGTCAACTAACCAGATCATCAATCTAGCCTTGTCAACTAACCAGAACATAAACCTACTCATCTTAACTAACCCAAATATGATCCCAGTCTTGTCAACTAAACAGAACATGATTCTAGTCTCATCGACTAACCAGATCATCAACCTAGTCTTGTCGACTAACCAGAACATCAACCTAGTCTTGTCAACTAACCAGATCATCAATCTAGTCTTGTCGACTAACCAGATCATCAACCTAGTATTGTCGACTAACCAGATCATCAACCTAGTCTCGTCGACTAACAAGATCATCAACCTAGTCTAGTCGACTAACCAGGTCATCAACCTAGTCTCGTCGACTAACCAGATCATCAACCTAGTCTCGTCGACTAACCAGATCATCAACCTAGTCTCGTCGACTAACCAGAACATCAACCTAGTCTCGTCGACTAACCAGAACATCAACCTAGTCTCGTCGACTAACCAGAACATCAACCTAGTCTCGTCGACTAACCAGAACATCAACCTAGTCATGCTGATTGACCAAAAACGGTTTTCTAGTCTGGTCATTTACTCAGGTCCCAGTCTTGTTGATTAACCAAAATATTATTTTAGTCTTGTTGAAAGGCAACTTTAAAATATATCTGACTTAGTACGTATAAATAAGTGAAAATCTGGTTGAAATGTTATTAGTAAATCACCCTACCACCTCAAATCATTGTTAATTAAACTATCGCTCCAGGTCAGTGTTTTTTGTTAGTAATCCTAGCTGTCATTCCAGGTTTTCTAACAGTTACCTAAAACTAGTAATGTTTGTATGAAAATAGACATTACATAAAATATAAAATATGTGGTTCGTATACTAAAAACAAACGGAACACACAGTAGCAAGACACAATCATTTGTGCCGTTTCTTATCATTTCTAGTCCCCTTACCACACTGGCGGCCACCTATTTCGGTTGAGATAGGCCTGATTTTCTGGGTGCAGGGTCCTCAATAGTTTTATACTCTTTTGACAAATCTCGTTGTAGTTTACCGAGATGTGAAACAAACACCAATCTGCCAACTGATCTGCGTTGTGCATCTAGAAAAAAGAAGGGACCTAGTATTTAGTTTCCAAAGATACAGAATTGTCCTACTAAGTCAGACAACAACTGTTAATAATGTAAGAAAAATGTAAAAACAATGTAACAAAGTTGTAGTTTTATAGATTTCTCAAATGCCTTTAAAATAAACCATTATAAAAGTGGTGTGAACACTTTTTTCTTTACAAGCTAGCAATGAATGATTATAATCAATTGTACTTGTAATAAGACATTATGTTAGGCCTAATATATTTTTCTAACTCTTACATTCTTCTTCTAGTCCCTGAGAGGGGAGGGGGGTTCAGAAGAGTGTTCATTATATCCCAGCTGGCCTGAAGAGCTTTAAATTAAGCGTAACACATCAGCAGCAATGGATATGACGAACATAGTGTGGTCGAAATACTATTACTGTAAACTCTTCTAATTCTTCGTAGTGTTAAAAAATATACTAGGCCTAACATAATGTCTTATGACAAGTATAATTCAATATAAAAATGTCTTGGTATTTAATTCATATGTCTGAATACCTTTCTTGTATTACTGACCAAGAAATAAAAATGTCACCTCATCAGAGAAATAAACTAGTCTTAGACACGAATGGTCTACAAATCAAATAGTAATCTATGTGTTAAATAGTAACTTTGAAATAACAGGCAGCAGAAGCCTGATAAGCTAGTGTTATGTAGTAACTTTGAAATAACTGGTCAGGCAACAGGCAGCAGAAGCCTGGTAAGCTAGTGTTATGTAGTAACTTTGAAATAACTTGTCGGGCAACAGGCAGCAGAAGTGTTGTGTAGTAACTTTGGGATAACTGATTGGACAACAGGCAGAAGCCTGGTAAACTAAATGTTATGTAGTAACTCTCGGATAATTAGTCGGGAAACTAGAAAGCAACTTTAGGACAACTGTTCATAAGTGCTTAGGAAAACCTGCATGCACTTGAAAATTTAAAAAATAAATTAGTAAGGAAGCAAAACAAGCCTGTTTGTTTGTTGTTAAGCACAAAGATACACAATGGGCTATCTGTGCTGTTCCCATCCCAGGTATCTAAACCTGATTTTTAGCATTGTAATAAGCCTTCAGACTTACCACTTAGCCACAATCTAAACAAACAACTTACAACTTTCTGTAATACTTTCAGGTAATATAAATTTGATAAAATATGATCCTGAAAGAGAAAGGAAATTATTATTGCATCTTCGAGGATTTGTTGAATGGTAACAAATTTAAATTAGGTTTTTTTTTCTTGGAATACTGTTTGTCAATTTTCAAAACTTTATTTGGATGAAATGAAATATATCAGAATTTTACCTGACAAGGTTCCAAAAGTCTTATAGCATGTTCAGTAGAATCAATTTTATTTTCTGCCATCTTGATCAAGTCTCTAACCACCTTCTGTTCCACAAGAGCCACGAGTCTAGCAAGACATAACCGATTGGCTAGCTCCAGGAGGTCTAAGCAGTTGTTAGGGTTTATGGTAGGATCTATACAGTCAGTGTACAGATAGACTAAAAGTTGATGAAAACAGTCTTTTGTTACACCGGGAAAATGAACCTATTGAGAGAGAGAATACCAAAAAATACCCATTCAGTGAGATACGAGAAACTGTCGGATGCAATTCTAAGTTCCATACACATTATACAGCTGTATATTCTTTAGTCTTTAATTTCAATTCAGACTATGCTTAATAAAAATCTGAAAATAGCATCTGAAATTTTTTCATGAAAGCAAGAATATTCCATGAAATACAATTGAATGTTAAAACTAAAACATCAACCTACAGGGTCCATTGAATTCAGAGTAACTAGCTTTTTTCTTTTTTTTTGTACCAAAAATATATTTGTAGTAAAATATCCAGTAAATGAATATAATTAATTTATTAAAACAATTTCCATATCTTTCGACTTTTTCTATCTTAATTATTACTCTTCGTTAGACTATAAGAACGTTTCTTCTGTATTAACTTTCATGTAAACAGAGAAGACGCATATTAATAATCGCATTCAAAAACTTCAAACCCAGTTCCATATAATTTGTTGTAAACATAATGGGAAAAATTACCTTAGTATGTATCTGAGCGGTGGTGAATAAGAAGAACTCACCACTTTGGCAGAACTCTCTCTGAAGTCTCCCCGGAACATGGCAGCCATCATATCACAGCGAGCAACAAGCATGGGTCGATGTGCAGCACAGAGACCATCTTCCAGTTGAAATAAAACATCTACAAGGAAACCAAATAACATTATTCACAAGTGGTTGTGTTCACAGAGACTGATCTGTGACCATGGAAAGTTATACAAAAGAGATCTACAATTGGACTTCCTTGCAACATAAAATCATAAAAATGGCAGTTTTCCAAGTTATAATTTAAAAAAAAATATATATTTTTCCTCGGCATCTGTAGCTACAATTTTATCTCTCTTTAAGTTAATTTTGTTCTTCAGACACAAAATATTTATTTTGTTTAAAAGAAAATTATAAATCTTTAGGCTTAGGTTCACTCAATACATGTTGTGCAACCTAAACATCTTTAGGCTTAGGTTCACTCAATACATGTTGTGCAACCTAAACATCTTTAGGCTTAGGTTCACTCAATACATGTTGTACAACCTAAACATCTTTAGGCTTAGGTTCACTCTCTCTATGTTGAGCCACCTGAACAAAAGAAAATAAAGTAAGAAATTAAAAAAACAACATTTAAACAATAAATTAAGCTGTTTGGTAGAGAGTTCATGAAACGATACATAAAAAAGTTGATATTTTTGAATTAATAATGTTGTTACCCAATACAATATTATATCTTTACCAGAAAAGAGACCTTGCTTGACACAGATTTCTTTTATTCGGGCTTTTAATTTTTGAAGAAACTTCTGTCGCACCTCTTGATTGAGAAAATCTTCTCGATGCAAAATATTACTTATTATGACCTGAACACAAAAAAAAATATCGAAAAGAAATTATATCTTTCAAATTCTTCTTAACTAAGTATAATATATATTGTTTTGGAATGTTAATTACATGACTCGTATATCAGAACACATTAAAAGAACTTATAAAGAGAAATAATGAAATATAAAGAAAGAAACTTCTTAAAACTTTTGAATTAGAAACATAAAAAGAAACATTAGGATATTGTACACAATATCAAGGCTTAAACAAGCCTAACTTGAATGATCTCTAAATCTAAAACGTATAAAATCAAAAGTTTTACTTAGAACAAACGTCAATAAAACTTAAGACCTAAAACAATTCTTTATCTCAACAAAGACTAAAAGTAATTAATAAAATCTGAAGACGGCTTGATAAACCTGTTGATGACAAAATCTTGTTGATTCATTGTACATTTGTTAGTATGTTAAACTTGCAATAATGTTTTCTTCATTACCCATTCAAGCCATCTCCAAGCTTTACTTTCTCAAAGTGAGTTCCTTGTCATCAGATTAGAAAGCACGTAAGACTTCAGTAACACATCTACTAGTGTCAGGCTCAAATAAAACTTTTACAGAAAAAAAATATAGAAACTCAATACGATTAAACATTTAGCAGCGATCACAATAAAAAATTGATTACATTTAGTTGCTTTACTAAAATAAAACACTGAGGTGTTCCGGAATATAACAGAAGCTCCAGTAGTCGTTATACAAAAACAAACATCCTACGATGATCACTATACAAAATCTTCTGCTTTCAGTAATACTGTAGAAATTATAATCAAATAGACACTTTAAAACAACCTCAAGACTTCAGTAATTTTTCCAACAGCCAAAATTAGAAGATACTGATATTCACAGTAGGGGTTTTAGCAGCAATTTACAAGTACAAATTGAAAAAAGAACCTACAGTTAAAAAATAAAATTTATGAAAAAATTACACTTGACTAAGTTAATCCAGTTCAGACTGTAACAGCTGTTATCAATCAATCTACTAATATAAATAGTATCTCAATCACTATTATGTTTGTTGTAACAGAGCCAGCTAGACGAGGTCTCGTCAGCACTTGATATGGCGTGGTTGATGTATTATTACACACTCTTCTTTACGTTATCTCAAAAGTGGTAGATAAAATAAAATAAAAATCATCAGTCTCACGTAGAAGACTCATCAGCCAAAAGAAACAAAAACATTTATACTTTGAGCAACGGAAGTGGTATTGGTCTCCTTACAGGTTCACCGACAAATTCCTGTTTCAGTTGTACTGTAGCAATTTGAACAGTATTAAAACCTTGATAACTATTCAGTATCCCAGTTTGGAAACATGTTACGTCCACATTCCACTTTTCTAAGTAAAAACATGTACCTGAACCAGTTTTTATGTTTCAGGTACATGGGGTACTTTGGACCTCTTCGACAAGGTAAAACAACAGAGCTAATAGCTTTACACTAAATTCCATAAGTAACTTCTGAGTAACTCTTTTCTTGAAATAGAGTGTCATGACAAGAAATAAATGGTTGTTTTAAAACTAGTCTTCTAGTACAAAGTACAGTAATAACCAAAACTCTACGGATCTTCAGATACTCTAGACCATCTGGATTCACGGAGTATGTAAAATACTTGATATCTTCGTTTTATTCAATTGCGTTTATTAATCTTCGTGTCTTCGTAAACTGTTTCCCAACACTTTGATCATAAAAAAACTTGAATATATCAGTGATTATTACAGTATTTAAGAAATATATTCAAAGTCTATAGCTATACTTATGAAAAGTATTGGACAAATTCCTGGTTGTGTGTGTGTGTGTGGGGGTGGGGGGGAGAGTTAATTTTATACAACAAACAAACATACCTGCAATTCGGGTATCTCTAGTAGTTCGGCTGCTAGGTGGACCTCGGTGAGTGAACAGCACTTCAAGTCAACTGAACCAGTGTACAGAAATCTGGTAACGGGTCATTAGAAAATCAACAATTCAGATACACAGAAGTGCACAAAACCACGGTAACACAATATTAAAGATTATATTTTTTACGTACATTAAAGGAGTTCTCACAAACAATTAGCTTTTTAGATTAAACGTCAACTAAAAGATAACCGTCATTTGGTCCTCGTAATCTTCATTGTAAAATGAGAAAACAAAACAGAGACCACAGCAGTGAATTGTATTTTTAAAACATCGTAGACAAGATTTTCCAATTAATATTGGGTTAAACGACTTATACGCACCTGTGAAGAAGAAAACCGGGTGGATACTTTCCCCCCAAAAAATGTTTTCCTAAATTTACAGGCAAAATTCCATATTGTCCAGGCCTTTACTAGCACATGTTCAACACACTAATATTTACATTTATATAAGGTAATAAACACTTCATTATTCACACTACAATACTACGGAGAAAAGAATCTTCAGATGAGGACATTGCAATTCGAAGGTATACAATAAAATGTTAAATTTTTATTTATAAAAGAATTTTTGATTTAATCCACCAAGATAACTATCACTAGCTAAAATAACACTGCTGGATGGCTAAGATTACGTTAAAATGTATCACTAATTAGCATGGCTACACAATGCGACTCGCATGCATGTATGTCTTCCGAGATAAAAGAACTTTGAACATTTTGAGATGGTTTTCAATATTCCTTAACAGTTTTGACCCCTTTTTCAAATACCCTGGCTCTCCCAGATTCATAGTCACCATGGAAACTTCAAGATACTTTGATGAGAAAGGATGGAAAAAAAAAGGTACAAAATTTATTGAATTAACATGTACATAAATACAACGTTAAGGTTTTGTTATTTTACACAAGGTCAAAGTTCAATGCTGCTACATACTTCGCATCATTTACAAACCTTAGACACTGTTGTAGAGCAGCTGGTGTAATTTGCTTAGACATGGTCACTACTGTTTGCATTGATGATGTTATCTCTCCTCTGTGATCTAACCCCTCACATGGCTCTAGACTGATGGACTGAAATGCACCTTGGTTGAGAATTTTACAAACACTAGTCCTCGATTCACTGTGGCTATCCGTCGGTTTGTTGCTGTGGTCTGCCAACTTGGAATGACCTTCACTGCTGTTTTTCTTTTGGGGCAACGTATGGGCACCACTAGAGTTAGCAATGTTTGAGCCACCACTGTTGTTATTGTTGTTGTTTGAGCTTCGTGGCAGCCGTAAGGAGGCACATGTTGGTGGAGTGCTTTGGGAAATGAGCTGTTCTGTGTCATCGTTAAAACTTCCCACAGCAGCTTCCAGTGTACTAACCTACGTAACACGATATTTGAATTTTGAATTCAAACTTCACTGAAAATATTGTTAATTGTAAGGTACCTAAATAAATCGATACAATTTAATCATTATAGGTTTTAGTTTTCCGGTGAATTTATTTATGACATTAAATATTTCTTTTCAGTTTGTTATACATATTTAGCTTTACTAATTTATAAGTTACATTTAAGTTTTGAGTTACAGAGTTACAGGACTTTCTGATCAGTACCTTTTATTATTATCAGAGTTTTAATACGATGAAAATTAACTAACTAATTACCGTACTTTTGACATCAAAACAATAATTATTCAAAATATATGAAACTACAAAAGGAACAACAACATCTTTATTGTACGGTACAACAAAACCACAAAAGGAACAACAACATCTTTATCGTATGGTATAACAAAACCACATTAACTAATAGTTAACTAACATAGTACAACAAAACCACAAAAGGAACAACAACATCTTTATCGTACGGTACAACAAAACCACATTAACTAATAGTTAACTAACATAGTACAACAAAACAAAACCACATTAACTAATAGTTAACTAACATAGTACAACAAAACCACAAAAGGAACAACAACATCTTTATCGTACGGTACAACAAAACCACATTAACTAATAGTTAACTAACATAGTACAACAAAACCACATTAACTAATACTTAACTAACATAGTACAACAAAACAAAACCACATTAACTAATAGTTAACTAACATAGTACAACAAAACAAAACCACATTAACTAATAGTTAACTAACATAGTACAACAAAACAAAACCACATTAACTAATAGTTAACTAACATAGTACAACAAAACAAAACCACATTAACTAATAGTTAACTAACATAGTACAACAAAACAAAACCACATTAACTAACAGTTAACTAACATAGTACAACAAAACAAAACCACATTAACTAACAGTTAACTAACATAGTACAACAAAACAAAACCACATTAACTAATAGTTAACTAACATAGTACAACAAAACCACAAAAGGAACAACAACATCTTTATTGTACGGTACAACAAAACCACAAAAGGAACAACAACATCTTTATTGTACGGTACAACAAAACCACAAAAGGAACAACAACATCTTTATTGTACGGTACAACAAAACCAACAAAAGGAACAACAACATCTTTA